ATTTCTCATCCCCAACAAATTGTAGAGGTAGGATCTTGCAACAGACTCAAAAACCCAAAAGCTGGTTACACCTGGAAGACACCTCTGAGAAACAGTCACTTCCTAAGGGTTCTAAATACTAGCAATGGAGGCTGGGGATATAGCTCAGTGGCTCAAGCACCTGCCTGCCAAGTGCAAGGTCCGTGGTTGACTCCCAGAACAAAAAATAAATACTATCAATAAAGCTACTTGCCGTAGGCAATTTACAAACATCAACCCAGGCACTAAACTAGAAAAAGAATAAAAAAGAGAAAGAGAGGGAAAGAAAGAAAGAAAAATGATAATGGTGCTTTTTGCTTTAAAGCAGCTTATTAACAGATTTGACTTAGAACCCTTTGAATTCTAGGAACAGACTTGATTTTTTCAATATGTTGCTAAAATGGATTTACTGGTATTTTATTTAGGATTCGGACATCTATATTCAAAGTAAGGTTGTTTTGTGCTTTTTCTTTTAAGACAGGGTCTTACTATGTAGTCCAGGCTGGCCTTGAATTCACTTTGTAGCCCAGGCTGGCCTCCAACTTGGAACCCTCCTGCCTCAGTCTCCCAAGTGTGCCACCACACTAGGCTTTTCTTGTATTCTTGCTCAGTTTGGGTATAGAAATTACACTGCCTCATAAAATGAATTTGGTGGTTATCTCTTTTTTCTATTATTTGAGAAAATTTGTATATAATGTAGGGATTACTTATTCTTGAAGGAGTTGTAAAATCTACCTATAAAACCATTTGGGTCTGGAGTCCTTGAGGGCAGGAAGGACGATAGATTCAATTTGGGGCTTTCTTTGGTGTTTTTTTTTCTTTTTTTGTACCAGGAATTGAACTTGACCTCACGCTTGCCAGGCAGGTGCTGTGCCGCTGAGTTACAACCCTGGCCCTTCAATTCATTTTATATGTTTAAGTTTCTTTATTCTTTTTTCATTCTGAGCAAAGGCGATACTCTTAATCTATCACCAACACACTGCACAGTTAATTTATCACTTGCCATCTGTCTCTGCCTGCTAGAATATAAGTTCCATGGGACACAAATCTTGCTCCTTGGTGACTAATATACCCCCAAGGACCAAATACCCTGCTGGCATGGAGTGAGCATTTAATAACATTTGTTAATGAATCTTGGTAACTTCCATTTATCTTTCATCTAAAGTTATGAAATTTATGAACAAGTTATTCATAGTATCAGTTTTCAAAATTTCTACTACATCTATACTTAGGGTCTTTTTACTTACCTGTTCTTTTTCTTTTTTTTTTTTTCCTACTTAACTGCTAATCTTTTTTTTAACCACTAATCTTAACCTGTTTAGTCTATTTATTTTAATTATTTCACGGAAACACCTTTGATTTTGTTGATTCTCACATTTCTTTCATTTCTGCTTTACTGTTATTTCCCTCCTTCTATACTTTTTAGATTTATTTTCTTTTTCTAGCTTCTTAAGTACTTTGTTTTTTAGTAAATGAATTTAAGCAACAAATTCACTTCAAGTGCCATTTTAGCTGCCACATACACACACACGACGTGAACGATGTGAAAGTAGGTTTTATACATCATGCTTCCTTATCCCTTCGTAATTCATGGTGTATTCTCTAAAGGAAATTCTTATATGACTACAGTACAGTTAGCACACTCAAGAAATTTAATAGATATAATACATTTAACTACCCTGCACTAAATCTCTCCCCTCCACCCACTTAGCTCTGCTATATAACCACAGCTATATAACCCCAGACCAAAGGACACATACTTTTGCCTTTTTCCCCTCTCATTCATCCTGGCACTATTTTTGTTTGTGATCTTCAACAAATGTAGTTGCTTTTCTTTTACTGCTGGGTGTATACTTTCCAATTCTTTACTTGTTGTACACAAGAGCCTGGAATCTATCTGTCAGATCCACCACATCATTACAAATGGATAAACAAAATATGATGTACAATAGACCATGACTCAGCCATAGAAGAATGTAGAACTGATACATGCTACAATGTGGAAGAACCCCAAAAACACACTCAGTGAGAGAGGCTGGACAAAAAAGGCTACACAGTGTATGATCCCACTAGGACAGTCACAGGTACACAGCCAGCGAGCACTGCAGGATAGTGGCCATCAGGGACTGGGCACGGAGGGATGCGGACAGTGTGGTGAATGCAAGACAAATCACTGAACAGTACACTTTAATGTGATTCTGACATTGTGTGACTTTTACCCCAATTTAAAAAAAATGAAGAATACCACCAAGTCCAAGGCTTAGGGAAACCACCTTGGATTGCTGAGAAACAAGTCTGCTTTTTATTCCTTTTGACACAAGTTTATCCTGGCTGAAAGACTCTTCCTCCAAATCCTTGGCTCAGTCTGAGAACTTGACATTGAGACAAAAAAGAAAACTGTGAACTGCAGTCTAGTCACACCTTCAAAGTGTGACTTACTGCTCTACTCCTCAGTAAGTTCTACATTTCCATTAAGAAAATCTTCCACTCACGAAATGCCATGTGCACTGCACTGTGAACTGTGGCCCAGCTCCGGCTTACTGAACAGAGACCAAGGACAAGGAAAGCAATGGTCTCATCTTAGTTAGAAGTAAAACCCAGGTGCATTTAGCTCAGTTCAGCTCGGAATTGAATTATATGTATAGAAAAAAATAACCACAAGCTTAACATTAAAGAAAGGAATTTCACACCAGGCATGCTGGTATGCACCCATAATCTTAACACTATGGGGGGCTAGGCAAGAGGATCACAAGTTTGAGCCTAACCTGAGCAACTTAGACCCTGTCTCAAAATTAACAATTAAAAAAGAGCTGGAGATGTAGCTCAGTGCAAGGGCCCTGGGTTCATCCCTAGTACCACAAAAAGAAAAAAAATTAAAAAGAAAAAATGGCACCAACCTAAGGACTCATCAGGTAGATAAGCATTCATTCATAAGTAGCCATGGCGCATGTAGTACTACAATACTATATTAAAGTTACTTTCAAGTGTGGTGCAGACCAGCAATCTTAGCACCTGGGAGGCTGAAGCAGAAGGATCATTGCAAGTTCAGGGCCAGCCTGAGCTACATAGTTAGATTTTGTCTCAAAAAACAAAACAAAACAAAACATCTTACACAAAAATTTTACTGCTTTCAAGGTGAGAAAAAAGAAAGAGGAAGCAGGTAAGGAATTAAAAATAACGAAGAGGAAAAGTGCTTAGAGTCTAAAGAAAAATAATGGAATGATGAGATGTGGTACTGGTGTCCTAGGAAACATTAATTACAATGACTAGGTGCCCCCTTCCTGTAGCTATCATCAAATTGAAAACTGAGGCTTGTCCTCTTACTAATAGTTTAGTAAGAATCCAGTGTTTATCAAAGTCAAATTTTACTCAATATACCTATAAAGACTTTACTCTGACTTTTAAGGGTAACATAAAAGCAAGGGACTTTGGAAAAAAATATTGCAAGTCATATTCCTGGTAAGGGACTTGATATCCAGAACACACAAAGAACCCTTACAACACAACAAAAAGACAAATAACTCAATTAAAAAGTGGGCAAATGATGTAAACAGGCCTTTGTCCAGGAAGATATACAAAGGATATATACATATATATACAATAACTACATGAAAAGAAGCTCAATCAACATCATTAGTCATTAAAAAAATACAAACCAAAACCACACTGAGATGCCACTTAATACTTAGCGGGATGGCTGAAGGCCAACAGACAACATCAAGCGTTGACAAGAACATGGAGAAACTGGAGCTCTCATGCATTGCCAATGGGAATGTAAAATGGATCAACTTCTTGGAAAACAGTCTGGCAGTCTCTCAAAAGGTTAAACAGAATCATCACATGATCCAGCTATTCTTATTCCTAGGGATACAGCTCAGAGACAGGAAAATACACAACCACACAAAAACTTCTACATGAGTTCATAGCAGCATCTGCATGATACCCAAAAATGTCAACAACTTCAATGTCCACCACAAACTGTCCAACTGATGGATAAAATGTAGTACATTCATACTATGGAACAGTGGCAACAAAAAGGAATGAACTACTGATAAATGCTTCAAGATAGATGAACTTCAAAAATATTACATTAAGAAAAAGAAGTCATGCCAAGTGTGGTAGCACACACCAGTAATTCCAGCCCTTGGGAGGCTGAGATAGGAGGACTGCTGTGAGGTTAAGGCCATGCTGCACTATGTAGTGAGTTTAAGGTCAGCCTCAACTACATAGTGAGACCCTGTCATTTTTTTTTTAAAAAAAGTAGCACCAGCAGCCAGTCAAAAGGGCTACATATTATATGATTCCATTCATATGAAATGTTTGCAATAAGCAAATCAGAGTAGGGTTAATGGTTACCTATGGATGAAGAGAAAGTGGAGTCACTGCTAATGGATATGGACTTTATTTCTGGGGTGAGGAAAATGACCTAGGATGGATCATGGTGATGCCTGACAACACAATGAGTGTACTAAAACCACTGAATTGCACAGTTTGAATAGAGGAATTGTACGGAAGCAAATTATATCTCAATAAATGTTTAAAAGAAGCCTGAAGGTTCATCTCTAAGCACCCTTTGACATGTATGTTTGGATACCTAGCTCATCACCTCAAGCTCATCATGTTCCAATGGGTCATTCTCTTACTGTCCAACGCAGATCTGTTGTACCACACTAACACCAGTTGTACTTCCTGTAAGCATTACTTTCAGAATGTCACTCCCTATTTAAAGTCTTTACAAATTCCCTCCCACATGTCAAGCAAAGGCCACATATGTCGGTGGTGCCAAAGGCCTTGCGTGAGGTGGTCATTCCTTTTTTACAAATACCATTGTGTAGAATCCTATCCCCAAGTGATGCAATTATTTTGTATTGCAATTACTCAATTTCTTATTACCACTGATAACTGACAGTCAGAAGCAATATTTTCATTTGACACATGGTGAATTATATGTACTTAGTTACCTTACAGACCCTCATACATACCATTCCCCCTCCACACTTCAGCTAAATGGCATCCACCTTCTCCAGGTTCCTTGCAAAATTCTACAACATCTCGACAGGTTGTTTCCGGTGTTATAGGAACTTCTGTTAAAATCTGTTCGTTGTTGCTCAAGAACACGGTTAATATCATCTATAAGAGAAAAGATTGAAACTAAAATTTAGATTCCTTATTGTGAAAAGACTCCAGCATCTCCCTTCCCAAATGCCTGCAGGATTACTTTCTAGAAATAGATAAGCTGATTCTAAAGTTCTTGTGAAAGAAAGGAAAGTAAGAGAAGTTGGGGGAAATTCTTAGAAGAGTGTTTGAAAAGAACCAGCACAAAAGATGCTGTGCAGCCTCAATCACATCACAGTGGCAGACAGAGCAGAAGGCAATCTGACGCCCCACACCCAGAGCCAACTCCGTAAGAAAAGATGAGAAATGACAGAAGAGGTTCTTGAAAATAAAGGAAGGAAAAGGGCTATAGAATAAGTGATATCTGAGCAACTAAAACATACATCTAGAAAACTAGATTCATACCAGGTATCTTACAGCACCAAAAGTTCTTAAAAGATCAAATGTTCGTTTAAAAATTATAAATCCCTAAAAATTCTAGAATAAAACCTAGGCTAATTCCCTCTTATAACATCGGCATACACAAGCCTTCTCTAAATATGACTCAAAAAATGATGCCAGGTGTGATGGTGCATGCCTATAATCCCAGCATTTGGGAGGCTGATGCAGGAGGATCTCAAGTTCAAGTTCCACTTGGGCAATTTAATGAGAATGACTCTTTCAAATTTTTAAATAATAATGATAATAATCATAACAACAACACAATAATAATGATGATGATGATGATGATGATGGAGCTAGAAAAGACTAGCTCAGTCAGTGTCAGGATGCCCAAGTGACCTGGGCATGGTGGCACATGCCTGTAATCCCAGCACTCAGGAGGCTGAGGCAGGGGAATCATTGTGAGTTAGAGTCCAGCATGGGCTACAAAGTGAGCTCTAGCCCAGCCTAAACTGCACAGCAAGATCCTATCTCAAAAAAAGAAGACGTGCTCGCTTCGGCAGCACATATACTAAAAAACAGGATGCCCAGGGGTTTGATTCCCCAGTACCAAAAACAAAAAAATTCTACCACTTTGATTGAAGATCTTAAACCATTACATTGGAAGAGACTTTATTTGTAAATTACAATTTAAACCAAAGATGTTCTTTAGTAAGAAAGTATTATGAAGTATTTCTATTTAATTTTTTATCAAAAATGAGAAAACGAAGTTTTCATGTGTTTCAAAACTCTGTCTTCCCTTAAAATCTCTGCTATCAGCTAAATATAATTTTGGCTCATTGTTAAATTTTTTCCTTAGGAATGCCTGAAATGCCTACCTGTTGAAATTAGATGTGTTAATATTACTGGTCAGATTTTATGTTAAATGAAATGGCTTCCTTCTGCTGCCAAATTCCCCTCACTCCAACTTATCCCCTCTGGTGCCAGGTAATTTTCTGAAGATAAACCAAGAAGTTACTCCCTTTCTTAAATACACAGGACTCCCCATGGCCCAACAGCAGCTCTTCCCAAGACATTCTCTCCGGTACCTACACAGCAAACAGGCTTCTTTCCTCTTACGTCTAACGTCCTGATGTTCATGTGAAGAGGATCTCGTGAAGTCTGGATTTCCACAGAATGCACTCAGAAAGAACCTAGATGCTAGGACAAACTAGACCTCCTAACTTCCAAGCCCCAGTGCCTCCAACCACTTAACCTCACTCCTCAGCGCTAAGGAAGTTCTCACCGGCCACCTTCCCTCTACTCAAACCCCTTTCCCGTTTGCCTGTAAACTCCTATGTACAGAGCTCTCATCTCTGTACAACCTCCCCTCCTCTCTCTAGGCTACAGTAGGCTCCTTCCTCTGTGATCCAGGAACTCTTCCCTCACCTTCCTTACATCACCTCAGTGAGCACCAACATGCTTCCCTCCCCTCACGACACTACACCTTCCAGGCAATCTGCTGTTAAATATTACATTTCCAGGTGCTTAGTCAGTACCTGGCTTGAGTGCACACAACGAAGTCCGGCTGACTTCACATATAACCTACAAATGCAGAACTCCCATGACGCCCTAGACCTGAGAAAATATGTATATATAACTGAAACACAACACACCAGCTGTTCAATAAACAGCATTATTTGCTTTTCACAAATACACTGTTCTTTCAGTTGAGCCCAGGGCCTCGGGCATGCTCTACCACTGAGTCATATCTCCAGCACTTTGTAGTTTTTATTTTGAAACACCAATTCCCTAAATTACCTAGCCTGCTCTTAAACAGTTGATCCCCCGCCTCAGCCTCTTGAATAGTTGGTATTACAGTTCTACACCTCCACAGTCAGCATTAAAAGTAGAGTTCTTTAAGAACACAACATCAGAAAAGAAAGTGGCAAGACTATTTTGGAGCTCTTTTTGAATTACCAAAACTTTTCAACCGATGAACATGTTCAGTGCAACAGATGGAGAGAAGCAGCAGAATGGCAGGGGTACAAGTCAGAACGCTTACTTTTAAAAGCTGACAGCTACCAAATAACTTCTACAAAAGTAACTGAACATTACTTCATTTTTTATGTCCTATTTTATAGTCTTTAATAAACCTAATCTTTCTCAATTCTAGCAAAGTTCATTTTCCCTAATCTCTATATTTAAAACCAAGTGCACTATACTCATGACAGGTTTAAAAGTGGCCAAAATGAATCCTGTGCCACTCCCTGGATGGCACATATATCCTTAGAGCACTGCCTCAGAGGAAAGCTGAACTGAAAGGTTCTCCAGCATGCACACTGCACTGCTTCGGTCTGGGAGCAGTTTCCATACATATTCTACCACTTCTGAAGTCACAATGCATCTCATAACTGATGGCAGACAGTTTAACTGGAAATGTTACTTTTTCTTTAATAACATGTACAAACTGGGCATGGTGGCACACACCTATAATCCCAGCACTTGGGAGGCTGAGGCAGGAGGATCACGTGAGTTCAAGGCCAGCCTGAACTGCACAGTGAGAACTACATATCTCAAAAAGATAAAAGTAAATAAAATATACAAAACAGAAAATTGAACAGGATTAGGGAATGAAGAAACCAGCTAAAGAAAAAAAGGAAAGAACATTTATCCCTCCTAAAAGACCAATACGTTGAAAGGGGAAGATGCAGTCAGCTACGGGAGGAAAACACAGTGTGCCGTGAGGAAGAAAGTGTGTGCTGGCCAGACACCTGCCCTACGCCCTCTGCAGCTGCCCCTCTGCCCTTGCATCCGTGAACATCCCTGTTCACAGCCACCACTGTCCCGCCTCCTCTCCACCCTCCTCTAAGGACTGCAGCTATTTCTCGTTCCACAGTCTTATACCCAGTCATCAGTTTTCTTAACTTCATCCTCTACGTAAAGTATTTGTGACTCACAAAGTAGGTCGTGACCCATTACCTCGTCTTGAAACCATCTAAGTATGTCTCCGCTGTGTCTTCTTTTTAACAGAAAACGTGACAAACTCAGAACCGCACAGGCACTGAGGGCAGGACGTGGGCTCTCTCCCTAGCTTGGTGCCTGAGTATAATGCCAGACACCCAGTGAGCAGAAACGAAGCATGCAAGGCAGAGGAAGGCAGGCAGCCGCATCCAGGAAGACATCCCCCGGCCCTTGCTTCCAAGGGCACTCACACTGTGCAAGAAAGCAAACGGAATCCAATAAACACTGACTTAAGGAATCCATACACTCTTCAAGCATTTATCGAAATAGTATTTCAATGATGTTCTTGGTACAAATTAAGAATGTGCTAGCCACTAAAAAGCAGGAACTACTTGGAGGGGTGCTTGCCTGTAATCGCAGCACTAGGGAGGCTGAGGCAGGAGGATAGCTGTGAGTTTGATGCCAGCCTGGGCTACACAGCGAGACCCTGTCTTTAAAAAAAAAAAAAAAAAAAGCTCTTCCTGGACTCCACCTTCATGGCAGTGGTAGCTGGGTCAGCAGTTCAGTTGTCAACATGCAGCTCTTTGTCCACGCCTAGGACCCACACTCCTCAAAGTGACCAGCCAAGAGATGGTCGCCTAGACCAAGGCTCATGTGACCTCACAGGACGGCATCATACCGGAGGATCAAGTTGTGTGCCTGGAAGCAAGCTGCTGGAGGATGAAGCCACCCTAGGCCAGTGTGGAGTGGAAGCCCTGGCCACTCTGGAAGTAGCTGGCTGCATGCTTGGAGGTTAAGTCCATGGTTCCCTACCTTGAGCTGGAAAAGTGAGACGTCAAACTCCCAAGGTGGCCAAAGAAGAGAAGAAGAGGAAGAGGAAGAAGAAGCAGAAGGAGGAGGGGGAGGAGGAGGAAATGACAACAGGCCAGGCCACATAGCAGATGCAGTACAACTGGCACTTTGTCAATGTCATGCCTTCTGTTGGCAAGAAGGGCCTCAGTGCCAACTCTTAAATCCTATGTAATCCTGGATTCCTCTAATAAAGCTACTTTGCCCAAGCCAAAAAAAAGTAGGGACTCTCCTGCAAGCAGAAAAAATAGACAATACCACACACCAACAAGGGTGTAGAGAAGTGGGGGCCTAGGCACCAGCAGTGGGATGGATAATGGGCGCCACCTTCAGCCACAGCTTGGCAGCCCCCGCTGTGTGGCACAGACAACCTCATGGCCCGGCAAGCCCCCTCTAAGCACCTGCCCGCAAAGAATGCACCTGCACACAAAAGTACTGCACATAAATGTTCATAACAGCTACAAAGAGGAAACTCAAATGCCCATCACTAACACAAGTATGTATCATAGTGTATCACACAATGGAATGCTACTTAGGAACTGCATGCTGTACGCCACAGCAAAGTTGTATGAACTGTGAACACATCACACTGAGTAAAAGAGCTCGGACACCAAAACAAACATATAATGTAAGACTGAATTAATACGTCAAAAAATAGTCAAATCTACTGAGACAAAAAAGACCACTGGGGGTAGGAATTGAGAGAGACTGTAAACAGACACATCATTTCTTTGGGGATGATAGAAATGTTCTAAAATTAAATGGCAGTGATAATTATACAACTTTGTACATTTACTGAAGATCATTGTGGTAGACTGACAACTGGTGGTCAACTTATAATC